GGCTTGTACATGGCAAGGAGTTTCTGGGTTCAATAGGAGAAATGGAGATGAAATGCAAAGAACAACACACAAAATGTTCCTAAAGCATCAGACTACAATTTATTTATGAATACACCCACAACAGTGCTACTAGTATTTATGGCTTTGTCATGTATTTTAGTTTGTGTACTATGATTTTAACATGAGCTTATTTGTATTAAGTGCCCTAATGCATCATTGGTGACATTTATATTGGTCCTCAAGTTGCTAATGGAGACAAATTAGGAAATTACTATCAGTAGTGGTATAAAAGTTAAACACCTCACACTACTGTCAGCAGTAGCTTCTGACATTAGTCATGCATTAAACAACTGAGCATTCCAGTTTCACTGTCACCTCAAAATTATAGTGATTGATATATCAGTGCTTTCAATGAGTCACAGAATCACAAACTTCTTATGGTGCAGAAGGCCATTTTGCCGATTGGATCTGGACCAGCTCCTTTATCTGCTCAAGTATGAAAATCAATTAGGGCACATGAATAAGTACATTGTAAAAATACACAATGTGAAATATGGATTCCATATTAAATTCCAATCAGTCAGGTAAATTGAGTAGTCCTGCACAAAATAGGTCCTCATCCAGGCTGCTTTTCCTAGTTTTAGAGTTGTTGGATGCATCAAGACTTGGAATAGAAATTTTCTAGGGATGGGCAATAAATGCCAACCCTACTAGCAACACCCAGATCCCATGAATGAATAAAAGTTAGCAATTGGGAGGATTAAATTTCATCAGATTGCAAAACCACATTTCATCAAATCAGTACGAATACCCTCCTTAATGGTCTAGATCTTAGTATTCAAAAACACTGGCAATAAATCTTTCCTTTCAAAAGGCTGAACAGACAAAAACTAACACTCATCCACTCTGGATTCCTTCGGGTAAGTTATATTTTGGGAAAGAGTTCAGAATCATATGCAGTAAGGTATCAAGCCAAGATTGCAGTGAAAATCTACATACAAGAAATAGGTCATTCAGTTAATCAAATCTGATCTGTCATTTGCTAAGATCGGACTGAGCTGATTGTTCCCTTAAATTCCATCTGCGTATGTTCCCCAAATCAAACAATTCCATTGTTTATCAAAAATCTGTCCAACTCCTTGAATATATCAATGGCACAGCTTCTACTGTTGTCTTTTAAAGAGAATTCTAAAATCCAATGATTCTGAGAAAATGTCATTTTGATTCAGAATTTATTTTTTCTTCTTCATTTCCATTTCTTCACATCTATGGTCTTTATATACCTTCACAATTCATATTTACCAGTGTTGCCACTATTCCATGGCTTCGTAATGCTACAGCTTTAATTGCTCAGAAGTTTTCTAATCATCTTCAAACTCCAGAACAAAGCTCACTCAGTATTAGGTCATATTTACATCATAAGAACAATCCATTCAGGCAAACTAATGTTCATGCTGAACACTAGCTTCTTTCCAACATTTTTAATCTCATGCAATCAACACATTCATCTATTTCCTCGTGTTTCTCTAGATTTCATTTAAATGCATTCTATGTTATTCACTTTAACTACTGCCAGCAACAGCGAGCTCCAGATTACCACCACTCTCTAGGTGAATACATTTTTCCTAAAACCTACTGGCTTCCTTAGATTTACGGTTTCTAGGTCTTTTTCCACAAGTGGAAAAATCTTTATCTCAAGCTATTAAAGCTTTTTAGAAATCTATAGACCCTTTCTGAATAGGCTCCATCTTCTTCAATGCTGCTTTTTCTTTCATAATTTGGCGAGTAGAACTTTATGAACCAACTTCAAGACAATTATTTTCTTAACCTTTAAGAGCCTCCAGGACTTTAAGTTTTACACGGTCACTCATATCCTATTTATCTAACATTTTAATCCTTGCTCCTCATCCTTTTCACGCTGCCATTGGAATTATCTCAAAAGATCTCTCCATCCTATTTCCTTCCTCTCTTTCAAAATAGCACTTAGGTTTGTTTTTTTTTCGAAAAACAAATAGACATGAGAAAAGCACTAATCTAACAAGCTTGCCCCACATTCAATGTCTGGAAAGAGGCACCCAACTCCAGCCTACTCAATTCAATTTAAATCTATGTTCCCTGGTCCTACCCAATCTGCCTTACTAAAACAAAATATTAAAATAGTTATTAAACCCAAGTCTTTAAGGCAGATTAAGAAGGCTGAATTTTACCAATAAATCAGTTAAACATCAATTTGAGAGCTTGTCTCAGTGAGCCCCAGTGTAAGAAATCTTGCTATTTTTCCCCAACACTTATTATTACCTATACACTGTGCCCCTATTGCACCCGACTCATCATATCCTCCTGCTCGCCACAGGCAGAAATACTGGCCACTGCTCAGACCCCTCAGGATTCAAGGCGCTGGCATCATCTTTGAATCCCAGCCATTCACCCGATCAAGAATTGGCAGACTTGAGAGTGGACCTTCACAGTTTTAGTCATTTGCCCAGACAGTCTCAGGCAGAGGGAAATTGGCACCCTGTTGTGGTTGACAGGGACCTAGAAATCCCGGGGTGCATCTGGTCTATAAATTGAAAAATCGAGCACTGCTCTGGAGATGTTGATGACTGGTGTCCAAGATAGAGGGCCACAATAGCATGACAGGTCACTCCTTTGACTTTCATATGGGTAATTTTCACGGTCCAGTTTATTTCTGGTGGGTTGAAAAGTAGGTAACCATATTGCAGTGAGGCAAGAGGACATATTAATGCTGTTAACGGATGCAAATAGGCCTCTCACAGTTCACCAGCAAGAAACGCACCCCACTGCTTAACACAGTTGGTAAATGGGACTTTTTGGACTTGGTGTCAGGAATCTCTAATATCGATCTCGCATGATTCGTCCAACATTCTTGCCAAAATTCGCATCAGTCAGTGGCTGGGAAACTTCAGCCCATCATTTTTGTAAAGCTAGGAACCATTCTTTAGCTTGGTTTGAACCTTTACAGCACTGCGCCATCCACGAATGGGCAAGGGCTAAAACTAGATGCAGAACTGTAAATGCAGTTCAAGTGAGAATCTGCGTAATGATGAATAATGGTGTCTGTTGCTTTGTATTGACTGATTCTATTCCCAATACATCACTTACTGTGGTTACAGTTTCCCTTGCATTGCAAAATAAACTTGGAATCATCAGTGCACAACAGCACATAGATCCTTTTTGCCTTTTTGGGAACAATATTGAAAGTGGTTGAATAAGCCAAGTTTATTTCATATTGGTTCAATCCAACTGTATAATACTAGATTTGTTTAGATCAACTGCAATTTCAATGTTTGATCCATTCCCTTAGCCCATCTAAACCTTTATGCAGAAAAACTGTACCATCCCAGTTGTACTAAATGCATAAATTGAAATTATGTGCTGTCAACTTTTTAAAAAAAAAAAAAAAAAAAAATTCATTAATAAAATGTGGGTGTTCTGGGCCAGCATTTGTTTCTTTTCCTTCATTTTCCTTGAGTAAGTAGTGGTAAGCTGCCTTCTTGAACTACTGCAGTCCACTTTGGGATGGGTAGACCCACAGTACTGTGGGACAGAGAATTCCACAATCTTCGACTCCGTGACAGTGAAGGAAGAATGATATATTTCCAAGTCAGATTGCAAGTGGCTTGGAGGTGGTGGCATTCCTATGTATCTGCAGTCCTTGTCCTTCTAGATGGCAGTGGTCATGCGTTTTGAGGACGATATCTAAGAAGCCCTGGTGAATTCCATGCAGTTGGTATACACTGCTGCCACTGAGTTTCTGTGCTGGAAGGATTACGCTCTTGTGGATGTGGTGCCAATCAAGTGGGCTGGTTTCTTCCAATGGCATCAAGCTTTTCCAGACAAATTGGGAGCATTCCATCATGTCCACAGCAGACAGAGTTTGGGGAGTCAGGAGGGGAGTTATTCACTGCAGGATTCCTAGCCTCTGGTCTGCTTTTGTAGCCATAGTATTTATATGGTTAGTTTCTGATCAACGGTAATACCCCCACTATCTTCAAAGTGGGAGAATTCAGCCATGATAATACTACTGTATGTCAAGAGGTGATAGTTGTTCTCTTGCTGGAGATGATCACTACCTGGAAATTATGTGACGCCAATGTTCTTTGCCAACTGTCAGTTGCTACCTGGATTTTATTCAGGTCATACTGCAATTGGACATGGACTACTTCAGTATCCCAGGAACTGCAAATGATGCTGAACATTGTTCACTGATGACTGCATGTCCCCACTTCTGATCCTATAAAGGAAGGAAGATCATTGATGAAGCAGCTGAAGATGGTCTACATTCATTGTCTATGATCCTATTCTATGGTCTTTGGAATTAAAGATGTAAGAGGCAAGAGCTATATCACAAGCTGGAAGACTGCAAATTATATATGACCTACACAAGTCAAGGACATATAAAACAGTTCTCGAAATGGTTACAAATGACTATGGCACATGGCAGGTGGAAAGTCAAAAGGTGAAGGAATTAAGTGCCACAGTAAAGGTGTTAAAAGTACTTTTCAGGGAAAGAAATGAAAATAATCAAGATGTGTGGAATGGAGACAAGATAGACACTAGTTCTTTCACTGCATGTCAACAGCATTGGTGAGCCCAATATTTGCTGTCCATCCCAAACCGGCAAATGATAATGAGTTGCTTCTTCAAACACTTCAATCCCAGTTAGGTACATGCATAGTGCTGTTAGTAAAAAGCTTAAAAAAATTTGGCGCAGCAGCAATAAAGGAACAGTGATATAATTTCAAGTCTGGATGGTGTGTGACTTGGAGGCAAATTTGCAGACAGTGACGTTCCCATACAACTACATGCCTCAACTTTCTAGGTGGTAAATGTCATGGATTTGGAAAGTGCTATTGAAAAAGCAGTGCCAAGTTGCTGCAGTGCATTTTGCAGAAGGTACGCATTCTGCCACTTTGCATCAGTGTCGAAGAGAGTAAATGTTTAAGATACAGGAGGAGGGGGTGATGCAGTGAACTGCTTTGTTCTGGATGGTGTTGGGCTTTCTTGAGTGTTCAAGGAACTACAGTCAGTCATTCAGGCAAGATTGCACTGTAGATGGTTGACAATTGGAGTTACTCATTGCTGAATTCCCAGCCTCTGACCTACTCCTGTAGCCACACTATTTATATGACTGGCCCAGTTCAGTTTTTGATCAACGATAATGATGGCAGACAATGCTAGAATCCAAGGTAGATAAACAGGAGGCTGGAAGAATACAGCAAATCAGGCAGCATCTGGATTGAAACTCAACATTGGAAGTGGAGAACTCAAATAACCTTCCCATCCATCCCTCAGCTCCCTTTCCAGCCCCACCTCCTCTCTTCCATTCCACCTCTGACCCTTCCTTCCAGCCACCAACCGGATTCATCCCTCCCATCGACAAACCAGGTCATACCTACTTACCAGTGTCCACCTATCACCACCATTCTGCTATCTCCACCCCACCCACCCCCCACCCCCTTTATTTACAGCTCCTCCTAAAGGGTAATACCCAAAACATTGACTTCTCCTTTCCTCCAGATGCTGCCTGGCTTGCTGTGTTCTTCCAGCTTCCTGATTGTCTACCTTGGATTCCAACATCTGCAGTTTTTTTTGTCAGTAACTTAACGATGTTGATAGCAGCAATGGTAACACTATGAATGTCGTGGAGAAATTTTTAGATTCTCTCTTGAAGGTAACAAAGGATGATTGTGAATAAGGGTAAATATAGGATAAAGTTGAAAGGCAGAACAGAAAAAGAAATCAGAACAAGAAAGTGGGATAAGATATGTGGTAGCAGACTGATTTAAAGGAAGGAATAAAAAGGGAGCATGGTAGCAGGAGGAGGAGAAAGGTGTTGTGGCAGAAAGCTACAGCGAAAGTTAAGCAGAGTAGCTTTTAGTTTCAAACAAAAAAAAGCATAAAACAGCAAAAACCTAGCAATCCAGATCTAATGAGATAAGTGACTAATCAAGGCCAGTACCCAAGGACGAGGCCAATCACTGAGAAGCCCAAAGTTTGAAATCATAGTGTTTCCAAGAATTAAGCAAAGAAAATTATACCTTCAGCATTTACTCACATCCAAGAGTTTTGTGGATGCACGTATAATAAAGTCTCACTTTTGAGTCTAATGATCATGAACTAATTTTAAAAATATATTGTAATTTTTTTTTATTTTTACTGTCAATGTGTCCAAATTTAAATATACAATTCCCAACCCTTTCTGGGAATGACACCAAAAAGCCAAAAGTTTTTGTGAAGCAGTAATTGTTTACACGATGATTTGTTGGTGTAACAGATAAAATAAATTTCTTGTGGAAAAAATGATAACTATATTCAAGGTGCTGTATAATTACAGCCAATTGGTATCCTCCCTCAAAATCAAGGTATTTTCTAAAAAAGGAAAAAAAAGGTAGGACAAACAAATCTGGAGCTCCTGAGATGACAAAGCAGATGGCAACTTAGGTAAAGAAAGGAAAAATGTGCTTATGACAGGCTTCAGGTAATGGATACAATTGAGAATCAAGCTGAAGAACGAAGGGTGGCAAGAAAGATTTGAGGAGAGGCAATGGCCAAGTGGTATTATCACTGGACTGTTGATCCAGAGACCCAGGTAATGTTCTGGGGACCTGGGTTCAAATCCCACCATGGCAGATGGTGGAATTTAAGTTTAATTTTAGCACTGCTACCTCACAGCGCCAGGGACCTGGGTTCGATTCCACCCTTGGGCGACTGTGTGGAGTTTGCAGATTCTCCCCGTGTATGCGTGGGTTTCCTCCGGGTACTCCAGTTTCCTCCCACAGTCCAAAGATGTGCAGGCTAGGTGGATGGGCCATGCTAAATTGCCCCTAGTGTTCAGGGATGTGTAGATTAGGTGAGTTATAGGGGGAATGGGTCAGAGTGGGATGTTCAGAGGGTCAGTGTGGACTTGTTGGGCCGAAGGGCCTGTTGCCACATTGTAGGGATTCTATGATCTATGAAAACAAATATGAGAAGCATTGAGATTATGAAAAATAATGCCAGCTAACGTAAAATTCAAAAATCTTCTATAAGCACATCAATAATAAAGAGTGATAAAAGCTGTGTAGGGGCTTTACACACAGGCAGAAGGCACAGCTGAGAGGTTAACTGAAAACTTTGCATCTGACCCTATCTTTAAGGTATATGCTCTCCATGCCATTGTGACGGAGGCAGAAACTCAATCACTAGAAGGGTTTAAAAAAGTGTGATGAAGTGGCTTTGAATCAGCTATTGATACTTTAAAGTTAATAAGGCACCAGGACAAAATGATATGCATCATTTGATGCATTAAAAGAAAGAAAGAAAGAGGGAAATTTGTAGAGGCATTGGCAATTATCTTTCAACCAACTCCCTGCATTCAGGAGTGGAGTCAGGATTGGAAAACATTTACACAGTTGTTCAAAGAAGGTTGTTAAGACCTGTCCAATAATTACAGACCAGTTAGTTTGACTTTGGTGGCAGGGAAATTTCTAGAGACATCATTCAGGATTGAATTAATGGACACATGGAAAATTATGGACTTATGCAGAAGAGTCAGCATGGATTTGATAGTGGTGGGGAAGAGGTGACGTGACGTGACATGGACTGTGGGTATTGACAAAGTGAGAATGAAGAAAAGACCACATGCATGGGACAAACCTTAGGGGTTGGGCCATTTGCCCTGAGTGGAATGGGGTCTCCTCAGTAAAGTTCTAACCCTCACCATTTTTCACCTAACACCAAGTAGTGTGACATATGAATGTTGCCCTGTCCCTGAACTCCTCCAGTCAGCCTCAAATTGGACAGCAAGTGATGATAAATTTGTTTCGTGCTTCCATCAGACAGACAATCTGAAATACATCTTTCAGCTTTGGGCAAAATCAGGAAAAAAAAAAATTGGAGAACTGCACAATGAGTTTCACCAGATTATACCAACATTTAAAAGAATAAGTTATTAATACAAATTGAATGAATTTGGCTGAAACAAGATATCTAACCTTACAAAAGGATTGCATAAAATACCTACAGAAAAGCTGCTTCCTTTGGGGAACATTATCTAGAACAAGTGGACACAATCTTAAAATTAGAGTCAGATCATTTAGTGAAATATAAAAGCACTTCTTCCACAAGACACAATGGAAAAGGGAGATTCTCTTTAAAATCTCCATGAAAATTATACAAAATACCAAACACAACTCTCAGTAGGGAGACATTTACTTTTCTTCTAATACATTAATGTAATTCTAAAATCTCAAAGATTAAAATCAATTATGCATAACGTGCATATGAAATGTGAAACTCAGATAGGATAAAAATTATCCCATTACAGCAACTGTTCTCATTACACCCAAGGTAACATTAGCCTTTTGTTACTGTATCTCAATGGTCCAGTCACATTGGGGAAACATCTAGCCGTTTTATCACAAAGCATGCGATGGCAACGTGGTTTGGTGGAGTGCTACTTTAATACGTTATGAGGAACTTATTTTTCTCATTCATTGAGTGTGTGCATCACTAGCTAGGTAAGACTTTATCACCTGTTTCTAATTGCCCTCAGAGTGGTGGTGAGCTGCTTTCTTGAACCACTACAGTCCACAGTGTGTCGGTACATAGTACTACCATGTCAAAGTAAAAGAACAGCAATAGAGTTCCATGTCAGGATGGTGCAGCTTGAAGGGCAACTTGCAGGTGGTGTTGATCCCGTGTATCCGTGTCCTTGTCCTTCCACATAGCAGAAATCACAGATTTGGAAGGTTGCTAGGGAGCCTTGGTGAGTTATAGATGGTACAGATGGCTGTCACAGCACACTGGTGGAGAAGTGCGTGAATATTGAAGATAGTGGATAGGGTATCAATTAGGTCAGCTGCTTTATCTTGCCTAATAAATCAACCTTTGAATGATGCTACAGCCACACTCATCTGGGCAAGTGAAGTGTATTCCATCAAATGTCTGACCTGTAGTACCTTGGCAATGGACAGCTTTGAGGAGTCAGGTGGTGAATTACAGAATTCCCAGTCCTCAACATGCTCTTGTAAAGTATGTCTGGGTTTGGTCCAGTTCTCCTTCTGTTCCAATGGTAACCTCTAGGATACTGATAGGACTACTGAAGGACATTAGTTGAATTATCCCTTGTTGGAGATGATCATTGACTGGCCTATGTGGTACAATGTTACTTCCCACTTATATAATTTTATTCCATGTCTATTTTCTCCCCCCATGAACTGTTTCAGTACATAATAAGTGCAGTGGCACTGAGCACTGCACAGTTAGCACCCCCACTCTGACCTTAAGAAGGGAAGGTCATTGGTGAGTGAAGCAGCTGATGATTGGACCTAGGACATTACCGTGAGGAACTGCTATAATGATGGCCTGTGGCTGAGATGATTGACCTCCAGAAACCACGCCATCTTCCTGTTAGGTAATGCTCCGATTAGTGGAAAGTATACCTCCCTTCTCCGATTACTGTTGACTCATTTAGCTTGGGCTCTCCAACGTGAAGGGCAGTCCCCCAACTTTCTCCCAAAATCAGCTCAATTACACATCTTTGAACCTTTGAAGATTGTAATCAGGTAAGGAGCTAAGTGAGCCTGGAGGAGCCCAAATCAAGCATCAGTGATCAGGTCATTGAGTAAGTGCCATCCATTAGCATTGTTGGTGATTCCTTCCTTTACCTTCCTTATGATCACAAGTAGATTGATGGGGAAGTGATTGGTCAGGGTGGCAAAATCCTGCTTCTTGTGTGCAGGAGATATTGTGAAAATTTCCCATATGTTGGGTAAATACCAATTATAATGAAACAACTTGGCTAAGGGCATACTAAGTTCTGGAGCACACATCTTTACTATTGCTGGAATGTGGTCTCGGCCTACAGTCTTTGCTAATGCCTTCAGCCATTTCTCAATATCACTGAATTGAATTCACTGAAGGCCAGCATTGCTGAAGTTGGAGATCTCTGGTGGAGGCCGAGAGGAGTCTCCCATGCAATACTTCTGGCTGAAGATGCTTGCAAGAACTTCAACTTGTTGCACTGATTTGCTGGCTACCTCCATCATTCAGCTTGGGGATATTTGTGCAACTTTTAGCAGTTGTGATACTAATAAATCTCTGATAACAGCTAGTTAGCTTGCTTTGGTAATCAATAAACAGTTCAAACCCATTAGAGTCAATGGTTCATGGCGCTAGCAGGAGCTTGTGTATTGCAAGGAAGTTAACGCAGCTGTGGAAGCTTTAACGGCAATCTACAAAATGACCAAGCCCCATTTAAACATTTAACTAAATATAAAATGCAAGAAAAGTTAGAAGGTCACTGTTAAATGTCAAGTATGACAACCCATGGTACTCCAACAAGACAGTTATCAATTGAACTAAATTTATTGATCAAGAAACTATTGCTCAGTGTGCCCATGTACTGAAATGAAGCAGCTTAAAAAGATTCACTTCAAGCATTCTCAACAAGCATTTGCTTGGTATACTTTTGAAGATTTCAGTGCATGTGCAAATGATACAAATATCCAGATCAGGACACAAGGGGATTCTATTATTAGACACTATCGTACAAATTTAAATGGGTCAGTTTGAAAATAGAAGTAATCCCAAAATAAAGTTCCAAAAAACGTAGATCGTTTTTATGATTGACTGACACCACTGCATCTGACCCAGACTATTAGTAGCTGACAGTGGGTTGTATGGGGTAGCAGCCCTTGTGAAGACAAGGCCTGATGTGTGGGAATTGGGTTAAGGACGTGGGAGAAGGTGCCTCAGGCTCTAAAATTGTTGAACTCAATATTGAGTCCAGAAGGCTGCAGAGTTGCCAAGAAGAAAATGAGGTGCTGTTCTTCCAGCTTGCTCCAAAGGTTTCACTGGAGCACTACAGCAAGCCTGAGACAGATATGCCGGGCAGGAAACACTGGTGTGTTGAAGTGGTAGGCATCTTGATACTGACAATAAATCCACCGCTCATCTACAAAACAATGCTGTCAGACATGTTATGCACAACTGATACTGCAAATGAGACCACAATTCAATGCATCATTCAAAATAGCACATCAGAACTGCACTTCAGTAGTACAAGTGGGACTTGAACCCACACCCTGACTCTACCTGTTAACACCTGGGACAGCTGGTCTATGTAACCAATTTTCCAATCCTCTATATTATAAATAGAAAAAGCATGCCCTCAAGAATGAGCAAGTGTGAAAACAAATGAGTAACAACAGCACTTTCAAATGATGATCAACAAGAATTTCATCCTCTCAGAACCTTAATCTTTAAAGCTAAATTTGACCTACCTTGCTATCCAGCTTTTTCATTGTCACTAAATCTAGTGACTTAAGAGAATGGCCAGTGGGGGAAATGAAGTACAGACAGACATGGATACGGGAATCATGATAATTGTGCAATGAACGTTTAATCTTCAACTCTTCTTGCAGATAGGCCTCAAACTGTGCATCAATGTAGTCAATGATAGGTTTATAGCTATGAAAACCCAAAACAAACAAGTGAAATACAGGACACTTAACAATAATGAAAATCTGAATATATTAGATTATAAATGGTTTATTGCTATTGCGTGCCGATTGTGCAAATTGGATTAGGTGGCACAACTAGTAAAATATTGTCATTTGAACACTAGGATTTAAAACTTTGTTCACCATTAGTAGTACAGCCAACTGCTCAGTATTGACAGTGGATACCAAAGGTGTCCTGTTTTCCAAAAGTTAAACTCCAAACATTTAATCAGGACAAAATTTGACTCTTTTAAACTGAGAACGGAGTTAAATGCCAGATAATCAGGTTGTATTTTCACTTGTGGTTGAAACTTTAATTGAAAACATACAATTAAAAATCATTTAAATAGGGCATGAAAGCATTTAGTTCTGACTTAGCACGCTTGGAGGCAGAAAACATAGTGAGAAGAAGTGGCTGACAGGCAGAGGAAAGGAAAACAGTGCTGGAAGAGATTTTTTGAAGTTGGACAAGTAGTGACCATTGAGTGTAGGATCTGAATGAAACAGACAATTTTGCAACTTTCAATACTAATTTTAACACGAGCATTTTTACAGGCACATAGGGTGGAACTGGGATCTGCATCATTCAGCAAAACTGATAATGCAAGGATTAGAAAAGAACCTCCTATACAACTATGAAATGTACGCATTTCGGGTCCTCCTAAGAGGCAACAACAGATATTAAGTGACAAATATCAGCTAGTCTTGATTGGCTGCATAAAAACAGAAGTTGCTGGAAAAGTTCAGAGGAAGGGTCACTGGACTCAAAACGTAAACTCTGATTTTTTTAATCACAGATGCTGCCAGACCGGCTGAGCTTTTCCAGCAACATCTGTTTTTGTTCCAGATTTAGAGCATCCACAGTTGTTTTGATTGGATGCATCCTAGGTTATTGTGGGTATATTTGAAAGTCTGTCCACAATCTCCCAATCCTCCACCAATGTAAGGCGAGTCCAGAAGACTGGGGGCTTGTAAATGTTATACCATTAATAAAAACAGGGGAAAAGAATCAAGCTGATAACTGTAAGCCAAGTTGTCAAATATTAATGATGGGAAAACTATGAGAGACCATTGTTGAAGCCAAAGTTAATTCTCACCTTAGAAAGTGGGCATTAAAAAATCCCTGACGACCTCTACCACTAGAATAGCAGGATAATACATATATAGGAATTGCATCACCTACAAATTATCCTACACACTACCTATCCTGACTCAGAATAACATTGCCATTCTTTTTCTACCACTACTTATATCTTAGAAATCCTACTCAACAGCACTTTAGGCTTACTTGAAGAGATAAGTTACAGCAGTTCAAGATGTTAAACAGCTCCATCTTCAAGGAATTTTAGGAGTGAGCAACAAATGTTGACCTTACTCATTGAAAAAGATGTGAAAAAGGCAGCCAGTGAAAATTTAAAGGCACTGTCAGACTAATCCAAGTTCTTTGAAGTAGCAGAAAGCATTGATATAGGTAGCGCAATAGATGGTGTACAAGGACTTTAATATTCAGTTAATGATTGAGAGTCAGTCATACAGCACAGAAACAGACCGTTCGGTCCAACTCGTCCATGCCGACCAGATACCCTAAACTGAACTCGTCCCATTTACTTGCGTTTGGCTCATATCTGTCTAAACTTCTCCTATTCATGCATTAGTCCTCCAGGACAGGCGCAAAGTTGGAAGATGATACAAATATGGAGATGACAACTGCAAAAGTGTCTAATTTTATAATTCACATGTTTTGTTGTATAGGGCCTTAATTCTTTAAAGTGTAATTGATGGAAGTACCTCGTATAAGAAGCTGGTAAACAGTCCTGAAGTGAGTGCAATCCAAATGTGGCATATGTTTATTTAGTAAGGTCAGAATTGGAAACAGGAAAACAAACAGTACATTGTCCCCTTAGTTTTGTAACGGAGTCCGAGAGACTGATAAAATCCCTGTTAGAGAAATAAATTATTCATTTAGCTTTCCCAGATCGAAAGAGAAAAAAATGGAAAGCAATTAGTAAAACAAGGAAAGGCCCTGAAAGTATCCATATACTTTTAAAGCCAAAAGACAGATTGGGAATGAGAGACAAGTAGTTTAAATTTCTGTGTGGAACATTCCAGATGTGCCACATTTTATGGGGACAGATTGCATAGATGGTTTTGTTGAGTTGTCAGGCAAACGGAACAGCACAAGAGAGCGTGCACTTATGTAATTCTTTCAGCTAGTAACAGAGTTTGAATTTCTTTTATAAAGTTATTATTCTCCACTGAGATCACAGCCAAATATAAAGTTGGCTTAGGGGAAAGGGGGCATTGCGCAAGACCAAAGATAACTAAATAAATCCATGAAGGTGGGAAGGCTAGTTGACAGTGGTTAAGAAAGGTCACAAAGTGCATAGCTTCATTAATAGCCTCAGCTGGAACACTGGTACGCAGAATTCTGTGCACCACACCTTAGGAAGGATGTCAATAGAAGATAGGAGACAAATGCAGTGTGAACACAAAATGCAATGCAGGGCTCATACTGGGGATGAGAGACTTTAGTTCTGTTAAGAGATTAGAGAAAGTGACATTGTGGTATTGAAATATTTAAGGATTCCAATCATTCCTTCCCGCAGTCTTCTCTGGCAAATAGTCAGAGGTCATAGACTTAAAGCAAATAGAAAAGAAAATAAATAAACTTTTCAGTTGATAAGCAAGAAACCTCAGGCCCCCTCATGTTTGTCTTGATTACCACCATTGAGATGTATACAGCCAGCACAGTAATTACATTTGCATAGGTCAGTAAATTGAGGAAAAGTCAAATCATCTAGAAAAGCAAAATTGGTTGCAACTGGTTTTGACAGGTTGAGGAGGTGGATTCAAGATTTGCAAAATATCTTCCAAGTTTAAAAAAAATGATACATAGCTATAGGTAGAAGGAAAAATGCTGAATCGTTCCAAGTAAGGTAAATGAAGTGGGGAAGATGTAGAAGTAGAGAACCACATGCTGGAACTGAAGCAAATAGGATCCCAATTCCCAGCCAATTCATTAAAAAAAGATATCAGGTCTCAGGAACACACATGAAGTACTAATTCCAATTTTAATATCCTTCAATGACAACTAGGGGTGGAAAACAAATGCTGACCCACCCATACCACGTGAATGAACTTTTAAAAATCCCCAGCTTTGCAAGAAGCATTGAGTTCTGGAAAAGATGCAGCTAAGGGAAACAAATAAAATTCCCAACTGTAGACCACTATACTATGAGGATAGGCTTGATGCCTTGGATTTGAGCTCAGACAAGAAAATCTGATCCAAAATATTATTGAAAGCATGAATATCATGCCATTAGATTGCACCAGAGCTAACAACATTAAGTAGGACAAGTGGCCACAGTTAAGGTACTGGTCTGACCTTAGCATGAAGAGGTAGTTAGAAATTCTTTAAGCTGACTTAATTGATTCTCCTCTTTTTATTGTTCTGCCAGGGGATATGGGGCGAGGATGAACAGCTAGCTAATGTCAGTGACTTCAACCAAAAATTAAAGCTATTGGATGGTCTTGATGTCATTTTCCTCAACTGGATACATAATAAAATAACGAAATTACAAACAGCAGTGAGAGTCAAATATGATGACTGCTTTCTGCTTAAACAAAAATGGGTTTTGAATAGGTTTTAGAGGTGAAGAAATTTAAAAAAAGCAGAGTGTTTCATGAAGTGACGACAGAGTATAACTGAGGCCATACAAGAATTTACCATCAACTTCGCTGCTTCAATTTGTGGGCAATGGGAGGGCACAATTAACTGGACACTGGAGTTGGAAGACCAAAATGTCACGAACAAGAATCCAAAGCCTGATGTAATTAGAGATACAAGTGTGAAGCACAAGTGTTGATTAATTTGAAGTCAAGAACTAAGTTTAATATGATGAGCAAGCAGGATTGTGTACAGGTGCAGATACTTGAACAAATTAGTATTTTATAGAAGATAGGAAGACAACAAACAGGACAATAAAGGAATGAACATGTGTGATAAATTATAAGTTTCATAGTGCTGGGACATAGATCAAAAATGTTGTGGAGAATGAAACAAATGAGTTAGATGGCCAGGATGTGTGGTTTGAAGCTCAGTTTTGGGTGAAGCAGGGTGTCAAAAATTTCTTGTTCAGCAGAACCTGAAGGGAGACACAGAGAAAGAGTGACGTTGAGGGTAGAAAACAACCTTCAGAATGTTCTATGAAGATCCTAATTCACTGTTCTTGCATATTGTTTGAATTAAATTCATCTAAAATTTCTTGCCTTAGAGTTTCTGTAATGCAGCTGAAAGAAATTTTGACATGTCCACAGTAATGTAGCAAAGGCAAATAACATAGCTAACATGGGGTTGAAAAAAAAAAGTGGAGTGATGCCTGAGAGCATGCAAATGTTGTCCTTGTGCTATTATATAATATTACCAGGGGAGACTAAAGGAAACAGACAAAGGTCTATGCTTAAGGGTGGCCTGAGCCAGACAGCAAGTTATTGGTAAGGCAAGTACTGAGTGCCTTTGGACAGCCACAAGTGAAAACACATGGAGCTGGGCAATGAAGGACAGGTGACTGAGGAGGATGGAATGGTTAAGCGACCATGTACCAATGAATATGATTTTGCAATATTTCTGGCAGTACAATCTCTCAAAAATCCGGACTTGGCATTTAAAATTACAAAATGACTCTTAGCTCTCCTAACAAGTATTTCCCAAAAGTTTGAAGTTTTTATGCAAATCACTTACCTATCTTCCTTATTAATCTGGTCTCCAAAGCCCACTGAATTTACAATGGTTAGCTTTAAGCGAGCAGTACTCTCTTGTAGCTCATAGGTCTGAGCCTTCAGTTTTACTCTATTTTCGTAATGTGTTGATTGGCTATTCTCAAAACTGGTGTTAAACAAGGTGTCCATAAGGGTGGACTTTCCAATGCCGGTTTCTCCTGAAATTTCAGGACAGAAAAAAAAAATTAAAGAAACAGATATCCTTGTATAAATTTTGACAATCTCTCAGATTTGGTAAAACTTTTTCAATTAAATTTTATAAAAATGCATTAGCAGCCAAAAATGGACTTCAGAAATAAAAGGAAATCATATTCATTTCAGACTAAAAGTTGCTTCAAGACATTTATGCAACTTGAAATTGGTGTACACAACAAAGAATAAGGCAAGCCACAGACAAATTAATTCAAAATGCCAAGACTGACCACTGTTTTAAACCAGCCATAAGAAAACAAAAAGCGTAATTGAAGTCAATCCCGAAATACCAAGAGAAAGATTCTAGACTATTTATGATCTCTGTGGGCATTAAGCATGAATTAACAAGCAGATTGGGTAAGTGAAATAAGTCAAGAAGTGAAATCTCAAATGAGTCAAACTCTGTTGAGATGAAATTCTGATTGTGTCAAAGTTATCAACCATTCCCATCAGTAAAATAGCTAAAGCAATAAAAACAATCGCTGTGATTAGCTTAAATTCAAAGTGGCTGATTTGGTTTAGACCATTATTTGTTCAGTGGCAGCAAAAATAAAACAAAAAAATCCCTCACAAAATAAATGTTTTCACAGTGCTGCACCCTGATCGCTTCTGACAAGGGTATTGTGACTGTGCTGATTATAGCAGAGTAGTTAGGCTAAATGCCCTCAAATATGAGTTGTTGTACAAGCCATCATTTTATTGAAATGGTTAACCAGGTTACATGGAGATGCACTCATGCAGCACATTAGGCCTTGGAAGGTATCATGAAGCTTTGCTAAAGCCAAACTTCAAGGCTGTTCCCCTGTGATTTGACTCATTAAATTTACTGTACAAATTACAAGTTAGAGGATTCAAAGATAGATCTCATGGATTTTCATGGTAGTCCACTCAGCATATTTGGCACCAATTTTAGTTGCAAAGTGCTTCAAAGTACTTAACCAAGGATTTAGCCAATTTTAACCTGACAGCAACTTCCAAATACATCTAGCTCTATGGACCAGTCTTCACCAAAATGGCACATTCCTGCAATACCTTCTCAGCTCTACTCAAACTGTCTTTTATAGCATGGATATACCGAAAATGGAGTGATTAGCTATAATGCCAAACAGAACCCCCTGCTTGTGCACATGTGGTCAAACATGTCAGCTAGCTGCGACTTGCCACTGATGTTACCAGAATGGGGACAAGTGGTACAAGGAAACTGGAAGCAAAGCTTGGGAAAGACAAAGCTGAGCTTACTTACCCTGGTGGTGCCCATGCAATAGTTCTCCTTGGTCACTGCTTCTTCATTGCAATCACCCTGTTGCCACTGCCTGGCCCTTTCCAGCCACTGTGCTAAACAGGGAGGGGCTGATCCCAGAGATGGGAGGCCATGACCAGGGCCAGAACTACTCCAATGCCTGTCCACCACCAGCACCTCCTGCTTTCCCTTACCAACCGCTCTCCATTGCTTTTATCCACCTCCTTGGTTCCTCAAGTCAATTACATAATATTTGCTATGTTGTGTTCCCGTGCTTGCGCACTTGTCGTTCTGCGTGGTCATGGCATTCACACTATATCAGCAGCCCATCTGAAAACACCTTTATACAAAGCCTTGTAACAATCGAGTACTTTGTGGTTGGTACTCAAACCTGTAAAAGTGAGCTGTTGCATACCCATTTTCCTTCTATCCTTTGCTCCCAGATCTATCCTTTGCATGAGCTTTTTCCAATTGTGTCAGACCTTCTCTCAAATCTTGTCACATGAGCTGGTTTCCATACCATCACAAAACATCAGATTGGCCTGCTTTTGCCCCGCATCTCAGTTCACAGGATTCACCTTTGGCAGCATCCCATCACCAGAGTCCGATTACTCGATCCCCTACAAATTTACTCTTCATAACTCAAACAACTTGCAACTACTACTCAGATAGGGGACAATATAGACAAACTCTGGCTGAGCTTCAGCTCCATGCTGTACAATGGCACACAGATCTTCAAGGTCCCCAGTCAACAGGCTGGTGACAAATAGGCCTACAATGGCACCAAACACCATCACACATAATCAGAACAAAATTGGACCTTTTCAGTCCTGAACTCAAACTGTAAACCAATGAAAATTATGGAATATGATCATACAAAAGCTTGGTAAAAGTAATATAAATTCATGAAATGAAAATTCATTTTGTTACTAAAAACTCAAGGTCCAGCAAGGATCCTGAGAAAATGTTTACATTTATGGGAGCTACCAGAGAACAACAATACACCCTGGAGGGTCCTCCTACTTAAAGACCTTGAGACATTGGAGGAATAAGCCATTGAGTATGCTCTACCATTCAATGAGATTATGGCTGATCTAATAATCCTCAATTCCAATGCCTGTATATCTTTGCTTAGACAAGAGGCCCAAAACTATCTGCAGCAATTTAGCTGTGTTCTGACTAGCACCTTGTATATTGAGGTTGGTTGGCTCGCCGAGCTGGTTTGTTGTTCCGCAGACGTTTCGTTACCGTGCTTGGTAACATCCCCAGTGCAGCCTCTGATGAAGCGTTGGTGTGTTTTCCCGTCTGGTTTTTAAACTCTGGGGTCCGTTGCAATGGATTGCCTCACTTTCGGGTTTCCTCTGTAGTGGAATGTATATGGGGTCGCATTCAATGTGTTTATTAATTGCGTGCTTCATGGAGTGCCATGCTTCCAGGAATTCTCGTGCTTGTCTCTGCCTAGCCTGTCCCAGGATCTTGGTGTTGTCCCAGTCGAAGTCGTGGTTCTCCTTGTCCATGTGGATTGAGTTGAGTGAGTATTGGTCGTGTCTTTTTGCAGTCAGTTGGTGTTCATGTGCTCTTTTTGTTAGTTTCCTTCCTGTTTGTCCGATGTAGTGTTTCTTGCAGTCTCTGCAGGGGATCTTGTAGATGACATTGGTCCTGTCCATGGTGGGGAGTGGGTCTTTAGTTCAGGTGAGCACTTGTTGTAGGGTTGATGTGGGCTTGTGTGCCACTCTGATGCCCAGTGGTCGTAGAAGTCTTGTGGTGAGTTCTGACGTGTTCCTGATTAGGGTAGTGTGATGGGTGTGTCGGGGCATGTAGAATCTTTCTGATGCTGTTCCTGTAGGCATCTCCTGACCCAGTTCTCTGGATATCCATTATCCTTGAACACTTGGAAGAGGTATTCTTCTTCCTCTTGGCATAGTTCCATCCCAGGGTAACCATCCCAGCACACACAAACAAAGCTGCGTGCGAACACTATTTAAAAAGGGCAACAACACACTGCAGCAACATGGTACTACGCCAAGAGGAAGAAGAATACCTCTTCCAAGTGTTCAAGGATAATGGATATCCAAAGAACTGGGTCAGGAGATGCCTACGGGAACAGCATCAGAATCTACACGCCCCGACACACTCATCACACTACCCTACATCAGGAACACGCCAGAACTCACCACAAGACTTCTACGACCGCTGGGCATCAGAGTGGCACACAAGCCCACATCAACCCTACGACAAGTGCTCACCCGAACTAAAGACCCACTCCCCGCCATGGACAGGACCAACGTCATCTACAAGATCCCCTGCAGAGACTGCGAGAAACACTACATCAGACAAACAGGAAGGAAACTAACAAAAAGAGCACATGAACACCAACTGGCTACAAAAAGACACGACCAATACTCACTCATCTCAATCCACATGGACAAGGAGAACCACGGCTTCGACTGGGACAACACCAAGATCCTGGGACAGGCTAGGCAGAGACAAGCACGAGAATTCCTGGAAGCATGGCACTCCATGAAGCACGCAATTAATAAACACATTGAACGCGACCCCGTATACATTCCACTACAGAGGAAACCCGAAAGTGAGGCAATCCATTGCAACGGACCCCAGAGTTTAAAAGCCAAGCGGGAAAACACACCGATGCTTCATCAGAGGCTGCACTGAGGATGTTACCAAGCACGGTAACGAAACATCTGCGGAACAACAAACCAGCTCGGCGAGCCAACCAACCTCAACACCCGCAACGCGAGCTACAGATCTACTCCAAAACCTTGGAGCACCTTGTATAGTTTTAGCATAACCTCTTACTACTTTTATACTCCATTCTCTTTGAAACAAAGAGGTTAACACATTCTATTTGCCTTTCCCAACACCCACTGAAGTTGGGTGCAAGCTTTCTAGGCAAGGAAGGGATAAGGTGAAGGAACCTTGGATGACAAGACATGTGGAACATCTAGTCAAGAGGAAGAAGGAAGCTTACTTAAGGTTGAGGAAGCAAGGATCAGACAGGGCTCTAGAGGGTTACAGGGTAGCCAGGAAGGAACTGAAGAATGGACTTAGGAGAGCTAGAAGGGGGCATGAAAAAGCCTTGGCGGGTTTGATTAAGGAAAACCCCAAGGCTTTCTATACTTAACAGGAACAAGAGGATGGCCAGAGTGAGGGTAGGACCAATCAGGGATAGTGGAGGGAACTTGTGCCTGGAGTCAGAGGTGGTAGGAGAGGTCCTTAAATGAATAGTTTACTTCAGTATTCAATGAGAGGGACCTTGTAGTTTGTGCGGATAGCGTGAACGGGCTGATATGCTCAGACAGGTTGAAGGAGGATTTGCTAGAAATTTTGAAAAACATGAGGATAGACAAGTCCACTGGGCCAGACAGGATATACCTAAGGTTGCTACAGGAAGCGAGGGAAGAGATTGTTGCGCCTTTGGCGATGATCTTTGCATCCTCACTGTCCACTGGAGTAGCACCAGATGCTTGGAGGGTGGCAAATGTTATTCCTTGTTCAAGAAAGAGAATAGGGATAATCTTGGGAATTACAGACCAGTCAGTCTTACTTCTGTGGTCGGTAAATTATTGGAGAAGATTCTGACAGAGTATTTATGATTATTTGGAAAAGCACAGTTTGATTAGAAGTAGTCAGCATGGTTTCGTGAGGGGCAGCTCATACATCACAAGCCTTAATGAATTCTTTGAGATGTGCCAAAACACATTGATC